GAAGGAGGGTGAAGGGCAGAGATGCTGTTTGGCTCTGAGGACACCACGCCTGAGCCCAGATGGGAGGGTATGGGGGTCACGGGCTGGAAGCCTGAGTCCAGTTGGGGTCCAGAAGCCAGGATCTGCCTGTGTCCCTTTCCCTCCCCATGTCATGTCTCAGTTTCCTCATCTGTAAAATGGGGATAATAATGATCCCACTTCAGAGTTTCTGTGAAGATTCAAGGCTGAGCCGCCAGAGCACTGAGCACAGTGCCGGCTCGTGGAACGCAGCCTCCAGAAAGGCTGGCTCGGACGTGTGTTACGCACGGGGCGCTGTTTCTGTCGTGGGGTAATGCAGGACTGGCCTTTCCCCTTCCCCCTCCTTTCCTGGGTCTCATTGGGCAAAGGAGAGGACTGCGCCAGACAATGCCAGACTCCCCCCGGGGGTGGCCAGTCCTGTTACCTGGAAGCTGTGGGTGGCGGGCAGGCGGCGCTGCTCCCAGAGGCTGAGGGAAGACTGCAGCTCCTGCGAGGGGCTCAGCGGGAGGGTGTGGGCCTCGTTCAGGCCACTCAGCAGGACCAGGCTGGCCGAGAGGCTGGTCAGGTAGTAGCCGCCTGGGACACAAGGGAGGAATGCGGCTCAGGCTGGGCGTGAGTGACCTGCTCCTTCCGCCTCCTCTGCTCAGTCAGGGCGCCCCAGCCCCACCCAGACAGAAGGGGCGTGTGTGGGGTTCCTCACCCTCTCCAGTGAGCAAGGCAGGCTCCAGCAGCTCTGACATGTACTCGGCCTCCAGCAGCAGCTCAGGAAGGTCGCACTGGGCCAGGACGAGGCTCAGCAGTGGGAGGAATTCATCGGCCCCTGCACCCTCCCCTGTGGGTGGTGGAGGAGGAAGCTTCAGGGTCCTCTGGGACCCCAGGGTCAGAATCCACTACTTATCTTAGACAAGGACCGTCCCCTCCGCCTGCCAGGCCTTGGGCACTGTGGTCTCTATGGCAACCAGGGGGCGAGGCCTGGGGAGTGGATGCTCTGCTTTCTGGGCCACAGTTTTACCATCTGTGAAATGGGAGGGTTGGACCCTTTTTTTTTTTTTTTTTTTCCCCCTCCCTGCTGTGCCATTCCTGGAGCCTCTGCCTGGTGGCCTGCCTCTGACTTGGCAGGAGCCAGTGGGAGGTGGTGGGAGGGGGCATACCTGCCTGGGTCCTCAAGGCTGTGTAGAGCAGCTTGCAGGCCTGCAGGAGCCGCTTGACCTGGGCGCTGGGTGAGTAGGCACGAAGTAGCTGCAGTAGCTTCTGGTGCACCTGTTCCATCTCTACTGGGGAAGGCAGGCTTAAGTGGGACCCGAAGGCTCTGGGGCCCTGGGCCCGGGCCAGGCAGAGGCCTTCAGCCAGGCGGCCCAGGGAGCCGTTGGTGGAAAGACGGCGCCGCAGGCGGGCCACCAGGATGGGCCGGAGAGGCTTGAGCACGGAGCGATGCAGCGACTTCTCCAGGACGCATTCTGCGGGGGAGAGGTAGGCTGGGGTCAGGGGAACCAGGGGGGCAGAGTCCCTGGGAGGAAGGGCATGATCAGGAGAGGAGAGGGATGAAAAAGAGGAGGAACCTTGGGACTTCCCTGGTGGCGCAGTGGTTAAGAATCCACCTGCCAATGCAGGGGACACAGGTTTGATCCCTGGTCCGGGAAGATCCCACGTGCCGCGGAGCAACTAAGCCCGTGTGCCACAACTACTGAGCCTGTGCGCCACAACTACTGAAGCCCGTAAGCCTAGAGCCCGTGCTCCACAACAAGAGAAGCCACCACAATGAGAAGCCTGCTCACCACAACAAAGAGAAGGCCCTGCTCGCGGCAGCTACAGAAAGCCTGCATGCAGCAACGATGACCCAACGCGGCCATAAATAAAATAAATAATAAATTAAAAAAAGATTTGGAAACTTGGTGACAGGGAGGCAGGCGGTGGACAGAATTTGCTTGAATGGTGGTGAGACAAGGTGGGTTTGTAAAGCCGCAGAACAGACTGAGAGACAGGCTGGCAGTGTGGGGAGGCAGAGAGAGTGGAATGGGGAGATAGTGCTGAACCGGCAGAGCCCCGGGCTGGAGTCTCACCCAGCCTTTCTGGTGGCAGCAGCTTCTCCGGGCCCAGCTCCGCGCTCAGCATGGCTCGGGCCCGGCTCAGCGCCTCGCGGATACCCTGCAGCTCCTGGGTCTCAGGGCCGGCCCGCACCTGGGTCAGTAGGTCCTGCACCAGCTGGCCCACGGCTGTGTGTCGGTCCTGCATCAGCGCTGCGGCTGCCCGGCCCACCTGCCGCTCGGGCGCCAGCAGGGAGCAGAAGGCAGCGCTCATGGACCGAAGCAGCGGCCGCCGGCGGCCCAGGCGGGGTGAGGTTGCTGGGCTCCCCTGGGACCCTGGCACCCCCTCCTCCTCTGAGCTGCTGGGGGAGCCGCAATCCACCTCCTGGAGGGAAGGCAGTGGCGGGAGGCTGGGGCCGGTGCCCCCTGGCACACGGTACCCCACTGAGCTCTCCCTCCGCAGCAGCTGGCGAGAGGGCAACCTTTCTGTCTGGTTGGGGGCTGTCCCTGGCAGCACTGGGACTGGGGGAGGCGGCACAGCTGGTGGAGACAGGGGGCTGGAGGTCTCTGTGGACACACGCACTTTGAAGCTCCTCTTGAATTTCTCCCGCTTGGTGGGGCCCAGGTCCCCTGGAAACAAGGGGTTGAAGAAACACAAGGCAGCTCCAGTGCCCTGGTCCAGCTCTTGTGGGGACCGGGGCTTCAGCCTGGGCAGCAGTGGGCCTTCAGATGGGCCTGGCTGAGCCTTGGTGTTGAGGGAGGAGCTCCAGAACTCTAGGGAAGAGAAACAGGTTGGGGCCTCAGGGGGTTCAGGGAGGGGGCCCAACCGAGGGAAAGGCACAGGCTTCAGGCTGTGTGCCCATGCCTTCCCTTTCCCTCTTGGCCTCAGCTTGTCCATCTGAGCAACGGGTAGCAGGGGAGCCCTTACCAATGCCCAGATGGGAGATGGCTTCCAGCTCCTTGCGGGTGGCTGCCTGGCAGATGGCTCTGGGGAGCTGAAGCGGGAGGAGAAGAATGTCCCTGAGGCCGGAGAGGGGAGCAAAAAGTCAGGAGTGAGGAAAGCTCCGGGCTGTGGGCACTGAGAGCGTCTGTGTGGGAGGAGGACAGGGTATCCCAGGGAGTAGGGCCCCATGGACAGCAGGCGCCCTGCAGGCAGGCTCACCGGGTGTGGCAGTAGGCACAGATGAGCTGGACCAGGTCCAGGAACACAAGCTCTGAGCCCTCCAAGGAGACGCCTGAGAGATGGGAAGTGAGGTTGTTCTCTGGGGAACCCCGGTGCCCTGCCTTGATGGCTTCCAGCCCCTCCCTCCAGGCCGGTCCCTCTCACCCCCAGGGCTCTCCTGGATGTAGTGGCTGGAGACGAAGGAGGGGCCGCTGGCCTCGGGCAGCCGCATGCACAAGGCTTGGCACTGGCGAGTGTTAGATTTCCGTACCAGGAATGTCTGCGAGTCGACAGGGGTCGGAGGCTCAGGACCTCCGCGTCCAGCCCCGCTCCCTCCCACCCTCGGCCACCAGCCCCAGGGGTGGGGGAAGACTCACCCCGGGGGGCTCGGTCCTCAGCACGTGCAGCGCGGCCGCGGCGTTGGCTCGCAGCTGCAGCCACACGGGCCGGGTAAGCAGCAGGCGCTCCCGCAGGCTCACGGTGCGCCCGGGCTGCTGAGGCCCACCTGCTCGTGCCCCGCCGGCATCAGGCACATCGTACAGCGGGTCCTGCGCTGGCCTGGGGGCAGGCGCCAGACCTGAGCAGGGGGCCAGGGTCTGGGAACCTTGCCCAACCCTCTCCCCCTCCTTGCCCAGGACAGACCCAGTTCTGTGGTCCCCCCGCCCCTGCCCCACCGGGTTGCCCTTCCAACTTCACTAACTTTTCTCTCTCCAGGTGCCCAGGTGCGAAGCTGGTTGGGCTGGGGGCTCCGAGAAGGCCTGCTCCAGACTCTCCAGGGGCTTCCATGGCTGGGAGCTCCTTCGGTATCTCCGGGGACTCAGGAAGAGAATCCAGCCCCCAAGGCAAGAGCACTCACATTCCCAGTGGTGAGTAACACTTCCTGAGGGCGGTTCGCCCTGTCACAGCCGCCAGTTAACTCTTGTGTGTCCGCTCAGCCCGGGCAGTGCCTGCTTCCTCTGTTCTGGGCCCAGCCTCTGGGGGCAGGGATCGTCTCCATGCAAGTGGCCCTCCGAGGGCCCCAGCTGTGGGGCTACCACCTCCACACAGTGCGTCCTAAAGCCTTGCCAGCCTCCTCGAATCATACAGGTGGGCAGAAAGGGGTTAAGCAGGGCCTATCTAGGTCCCCACAGGCCTCGCCTTTGGGGCATCTTTAGGTCTGTGGTCAACTGCTCATCTGTCCACGGTCTTGAGCTCAGCCTTGTGGGAGAGCGCCCCCTACAGGTCACCGATGACGCATTCCTGAGCTTAATTTGCGTTTTGGGATTTCAGGTTGCCGTGGAGAAAGGATGCTGTGTCTCCATGGAAACTAACCTCTTTGCTTAACTGAGGTTCTGGGGGCGGTTCTAACAGCGCTAAACAGGGGGGAGTCTGGCTGTGAGGTCGTCAGAACATGGCGCTGCTGCCAGCTGCCTCCCACGCACACAGGCTCTGCCAGCCTGCCTTGCCAATCTGCCAAGTGACTGGGGCAGGTGCAGACATGATCCAGTCTCCAAGCACCGAGTACCCAGTCCCCGTCCCCACCCAAGGCCACGTGCTCTGCCTGTGCCACATGTTGCTTCAGACGTTGCTCACCAGCACCAGGCAGTCCAGGGCCCAGCCCCCCAACCTCTGGGGAGCAGGCAAGTGGGAGAACCCCCCTTCCCCAGCCTATACTCCAAGTTCGAGTGGGTAGGCTCCCGCTAGGCAGTGAGAAGAGGTACCAGGGACCCCAGAAGAGACTGCCTGTCACAAGCACTCTCCATGAGAGCCCTGATTCCCTTGCAAGGTAAATTAGACACACGCCGGTCACGCCAGAGTCCCAGAAAAGGTTTTAATTCCAGTCCCTGAAATCTGGGAGGCGGACACCAGGAACCGCCTTGAGAAGGAAGACCTGGGGAGCCTGCCTTCTCACCTCCAACAACAGCCAGGACACAAAGGTCCCCCAAATATCATTTCTGGCCCAGAGTTCCCGTGAAGTGGGACCCAGCTCACTGGCTCGGTGACTAGGGAGCCGGGTCCAAGGTCAGCAGAAAGGATGTTGCTTTGGCTTAAGATGAGACACATCTTCATCAGGGAGGGCACCGCGAAGGCTGACCTTCGGTGGGGGCAGGTGGTGGGCTGGCCGGGGATGGAGGAGACAGTGTTGCCTGGCTAAGGCAGCTCCAGGCCACAGTTGAACAGGGCCCCGAGGAGGGGCAGAGGAGGAGTCCAGACCAGTGGCGGCTAGAGGGGAGGGCCACAGCAGCACTGCAGGGCTGGCTGGGCAGACGCTGAGGGGCCTGTCAGTCTGCCTTTCTGCAGCAGGTACGTTCAAATGCTGGGTTTGCTGCCAGCTGCTCCAAGGGCCCCCTGGCTGTGAACAGCAGGGTCAAGGTCCTGGGGGTACACAGGAAGGGAAAAACCACTGCAGGTGAGAGGACGCCGAACCAAGAGGGAAGCAGGCACTTCATGTGCGGCACTGAGAGGAGTGGCCTCAGTCTGGCCCAGAGCAGGCAAGGCCAGGAGGGCACAGGTCAGCTCCACACCGCTGATTCCTGGGCCTCTCTGGTACTCTGGGCCCGCCAGGCCGGCTGCTAGGGCTCAGCACTCCACCCTCCCTAACCAGAGCTGGCGGGGCGGGTCCATCACCTAGCCCCATTACTCACCCCCACCGTAGCTCCCACAATGCCCTCACACCCAGACCGTCCTGACTCTCTCAGGTCACTGATCTGACACAGTCCCTGCCTCCCTCTGGGCTCCTTTCCTGGAGGCTGGGCTGGGGGAGGAAGAACAACCCCAGTAGTTTGTGGGTTTTTTTGACCAGGGATCGAACCCGCGCCCCCTGCAGTGGAAGCGTGGAGTCTTAACCACTGGACCGTCAGGGAAGTCCCGACCCTGCTGGTTCTTACCATCTGATTTTCTCTTCTGAGGGGACACGGCTGCTCTTGCCTGGGTGGGTAAGAAGAAAACCCCCTGAGAGCCTGCCTCCAGCTTGGCAAATCCCCCTTCCACCATCAGCCTTTCTGAGGTGGAGGTGCTGCTGGGTCTGGGCTGCACTAGAGGGGTTGCCGGGGTATAAGACCCCTTCTAGGCAAAGGTTTGATGTGCTCTCCAGTCAGAGACTCAGGCAGCCCAGCTGCTTTCCCGCCTTCCTGCCCTCCCTTTACCCCCACCCCCATCAAAACCTGCCCTGCAACAAGGGGCTGATGTAGACTAGGAACTCCCTCCTCCGGAACAGCCTCAGGCCAAACGAGGCTTGTGAGCTCAAGCAATGCCAGGGAACCTGGGCTGAAGGCAGAGGGTGCCGAGGGCTGAGCAGAGAGCTTCCCAGGCCCTCAGGAAGTCCACACGTGGAGCGCCTGCAAAGCCCAAAGCTGGCATCTGGTTGGGGAGGGGGCACTGCACTGCCAGCCCCCATCCTGAGACAGGCAGCACCGGACCCACCTTTTTGATGGCTGTCCAGTCCTCCAGGATGTCGATCTCCTGCAGCATGTACACGATGTAAGGGCCTGCAATGGGGGTCAAGGAAGCAGGAAGCCTGGTGGAGGGGGCAGGTGACGGGCCTTGGCCCGGGAGCTCCAACACTCAGAAGAGGCGGTGCTGTGGACATCGGGGCAGGGAGCCGAGGACCTAGTTAAGAGCTCAGGCTCCACCTCCTACCTCTTGGCCCCCGGGTTCTCGGCAGGGTGGAGAGGTGGCATGGCTATGGCCTATTTCACCCACTCCACGGGGGCCTTCCAGTCTCAACCCTACCACTCCTCAGCTCCCCTCACCTATTCTCCGGTCTCAAGGTCAGAAGGCCAAGGTCCATGCCACCCACTCAGGGATCTGGCCCCTTTCCCCATCTACAAAGAGACTCTAGTCTCCTCTGTCCTGAAAACAACCCTCCTTCGGTCTCACACTCCCCTGTGGGGACCAGCCACTCTGTCCCCCTGATGTCTCCACACCCTCACCTCCCATTCACCCTTCAAGTCTCTGCAGTCCAGATTCTTCCCTCCCTCCCTGTGTGAACCTGATTCCCACCACCAGGAGGTCAGTGCCCTGAGAATCTGGTTGCTGCAGGAATATGAGGGGTGGGGTGGGGTGCACAAGAGAATTCAATTCAATTCAACTCCGTGCTGCTGTGCCAGGAGGGAGGAAGGCACAGCAGGCCCTGGACCAAAGGGACGCACGCCTGGGGCGGGGCAGAGATGACCATGCCCAGATGGGAGGCAGGTGCCCCAGTTTAGGTACAGGGGTAATATCTAAATAGCCATTTCGGCGGGGAAACCAGGAGAGGCTTCGTGGAGGAAGTAACAACCGAGACGAGCACTGAGCAGGCACACGGGCAAAGGCAGCCGATAGGAGAACGGAAAGTCAGCAAAGGCATGGGGGTGGGAAAGCCTGGGACGTCATAGGAAAGCCAGAAGGGCCTCAAAGGAGAGCTCACTCCGGAAATTACGGGGAAGTCTCTGGATGGATGTTTCTACTTTTTTACGGTCCACACAGCCTAGGAGGACCCCGCAAAAAATCCCTGACGGCTGGATTTGACTGGACATGGCCACAGGATGCCAGATGACCATAAATGAGTCTGGTCTGCCTCTGTCTTGCGTGTCCCTCCACCCTCCTCCGCCCTGACCTCTCGTCCAGCTCGGGCCACCGTGGGGGAAAGGATACCGGAAACAAGAGGGGCCTTCTTCCTCTTGCTGGGCGGCACGGAGCCCCAGGTCTTCGAGCTGCCTCTGGCGTGCAGTTTGTCATCCCACCACTCTGTGCCCCAGACCAGGGTCAGGATTGGGGTGCCGGCCATCCCAGGACGCCCCACCCCTGTAGCCTGTGTCCCTCACCCGGGCCAGGCCAGCCCTTCCCCATCACTCGCGCCCCTACCCCAACCAGGGCAGTGCAGAGAAGCCTGGGCTTGGGGTTGGAAGCTGAGTTCAACCCTGGGAAAGAGGTCACTGTGATTTTGTGAGGCTCGCTTTCTTCATCTGTTTCATGGACAGGGGTACGATAATAATTCCTCCCTCCCCAGTGCCCTGTATGAACGTCGGCCTGTGGACACGGAGAGGACTTGGCCATGGCATGTGCGTGTGTCAGAATGACACCTCCGTTCTGGAAACTGAGCAGGGGGGCAGGGGACCCGCTCTTCCTGAGTCCCCACTGTGTGCCAGGCTCTGGGCTAGGCGCTTCCCTGGCTGCTTTCATTCAGTCCCCACAGTGACCACGAAGCAGGTCCTCTTACAACCCCCCTGTGCAGGCAGGGAAGCTGAGGCCAAGATGGGGGGCAGGCACTGAAAGCACAGGGCCTGGGGCAGGGGTGCCCAGCCAGCCGCTCGCCTCACCAGAGCTGATGTCCAGGCTCTGGCGGTCCTCCTCCAGCCTCTGGATCCGCTCCTGCAGCTCCCCCTGCAGGGTGTCGTAGAGCAGCAGCTTCTCACTCTGGAAGAGGCGGAGTGGCTCAGCCAGGGAGGCCGGGGTGGCCACTTCCGTCCCCACCTAGCGCCCAGCGCCCGGCACATTCACCTCCAGGTGCTGCTTGGCTCCCTGCAGCTCACACTCGTACTTGTTCCTGATCACGTCCAGACAGAAGCCCTTGTAAATCCCTGTGGAGGGAGGGAGAGGGAGGTCCTGCTTGGCCAGGGACCCAGGGGCCCATAAAGGGGGGCCAGGGGCACGGGTGAGGCAGAGCAGGGACGAGAGGGGAAGGGGCCAGAGAGCCATGGCTTCTGGTAGGGGAACAGGGCACACACCTGCCACCTGAACGCGGATCTTGAGGCTCCGCTGCAGCCCCCCGAGAGGCTCTGTGTATTCGGGCGCCCTCTCAGCTCCCACCTCCTCCAGCCGCACCCGCAGCTGACTCAGCCGTTCCCTGAACAACCTGGGAGGTAAGAGGCAGCCGCGCACCCGTGTGCTCGCCCGTCAAACACGAGCGGAGCGCCCGCTCCACAGCAGGCCCCAGCCAGCCCTGCCCGGCCCCAGGGTCCCTTGCTCACTTCTCCTTCAGCTCCGAGAACTGCTTCTCCAGGTCCAGCATTTCACTGACGCACTCGCTGCGGCGGCGCTCGTAGCCCTCATCGTCCATCTCTGGGACAAGAGGCCAGTCAGGGCGGGCAGAGCGGGGGCGGGCGGCACGCGGGCGTGTGGGGCTCACCTGAGCTCTCCTCCTCGGACTCGGTCTGGCTGCCGCTCCGTTCCTCCTCGCTCTCTTCCTCCTCCCCATTCATCTCGGCGGCTGAGTCGCCCTCTGCTTCCATCTCCTCTGTGTCTTTGCTTGGAGGCTGGATGGGCATCTGGGCTCTGGGAGTAGGAGTGGAGCCATCACTCGCCACTGCCCACAGCTCTGAGCGGGAAAGTGGCCACTTGGGAAGTCAAACCAAGCCTCACTGCTGACGGGGACAACCGGGGGGGTGACTGGACTCGCCACACCCTGGGCACACACTGGGTGGGGCAGGTGCAAGTGGCCCTGCCTGCACATCTCCTGAAGCCTGGGAACCACAGAAATGCCCATGCCCTTGGACGCTGCCAGTGATCCCAATCCCGGGAAGAGTGGCCAAGGTGACGATCCATAAGATGGGAAAGGCCAAGGGTGGGCTCCCCACTGTCTGTGGGACTGGGCCCAAACATCTGACTGGGGCTTTCAAGGCCCTACATAGACTGGACTTGAACTGCTGGTCCGGCTCCTTCACCCCACCTTCTAATGCTTAGTTCTCAAATATACCATGCACTTCCTACCCAGCGCCCCCCGCACACCGTGCTGCTCCTTCTGCCTATGATGCCACCACTTCTCTTCCTGAGAACACTCTACAATGCTCATCTTCTCCCCGTGCTCAAATCCTATCTCCCTCTGCTTCCTCTAAGACCTCACGTCATCAGTGCTCCAGTCTTCTGCATCCTCCACTCTCCCTCTTGACAGCTCTGTCCCATGAAACTTTAGACGCGCTCAGGAATTTCCCACCATATAGAAAAAGCAGAAACACAAAACTTCACCCCACTCCACTCAATCGCCCCCCGTTTTCCACCTTTTCCAGGCCTTGCTCTTCCTACTTTCACCTCCCGCTTGTTCCAGTCTGTTTCTGTATCATCGCTCTCAGCTGAAACTGATCCTGCAGAGTTAACAGATGACCTCCTTGTACCTAATGCCAGTATTTTTTGGTGCTTACCTCAGGTTGACTTCTCAGCAACACTGAACACTGTTAAGCATTCCTTCATTTATTCACTCATTTAATCTTTATTGAAAATCTAATATATGCTAGGTACCATCAGACACCACGGTAGGAGGCAGGCACAAGTGTGACAGAAAGACAGTCTCTGACCTCAAGGAGTTTACAAGTTCCTGGATGAGAGAGAGGCCAAGAAGCAGATCATTACTGTGGGGTGAGAAGAGTTAAGATGAGGGGCATATGGGAGAGACAGCTAAACTGGGACCTGGAGCCTGCTGCAGTTTTGAGGGCAGAGGAAGATGGGCCAGACAGATGAGCTGAGCTGGTTGAGGGAGGGAGCATTTAACCAGAGTAAGTAGTGTGAGCAAAGACCCCGAAAGGAGAGAAGGGGCAGGGTTGGGGGCACCTGGGTCTAAGCCTCAGAGAGAAATCTGGGCTGCAGAGATCTGGTCATCACATATAGTGAGTTCTTCAGGCCTTGGGAGAGGGTGCAACCAGCAAGGCAGAATGTGTGGAGTGAGAAGGGGCTCGTGATGGAACTCCCAGGGTCACCAAAGGGGCAGATGATGCGACCCCTGCAAAACAGAAGGAAAGTAGCAAGAGGTGGAGGAGGGAAAACTCAAAGCATGGAGAGAACTTCAGAATGAAGGAGACGTGACAGTGCCAAGTGCGGCCAAAAGATCACTCAAGAGGAAGAATAAATAGTCTTCTCAACAGATCATCTCTTTGTCTACTGGGGGCTTCTGGTTCACTGTGATATGCTTGTCTGGGCACTTCTCTTGTAGTCCTTTAGTTCCGTGTAGACACCCTTCCTTATTTATTTACATGTCTATTGGCCCATTCTCATGTCTGTCTCCCCAACCAGTCTGTAAGCCTCACCAGGGCTGGGCTGCACATGCGCTTTATTCGCCTAGCACAGTACTAACTCATTCGATGACTGGAGGATTTGCAAATACAAATTAAACCAAACAAACTTTTGCAGGGCAGGGATTGGCTTTTACTTCTTGGTAGCCCCCGGCCTCTGTAGTGGTAGCAAACGTCAATTCAAGTAAATTAACTGGCCTAGCCTAGAGGACAGTTTCGAAACATTCCTCAATGATTTCACAAATGATCTGACCCTGACCTGAAAACTTCGGTTCTCCAAACCAGCCTCATCTTTCCCATTCTCAAGCCTCAGTTCCTGCATTTCCCAAACTTCGCAATTCCTCTTCACTGTTAAATATATTAATTTTGGAAGATGCAGCGGTAGGTAAGTCCTACCTTTCCGGACCAGAAACGGTGAGGGGTTGGGGGAGGTCTCTCCAGCAGTCTGAGTCTACTGGGTGAGCTGAATTAAATCACAACCTCCCCCTCCTTACCTTGGGTATAAAAAGAGAATAATAAAGATTGCAAGCGATAAGGAATGGAAAAGCAAATTATAAGGCACTGTGTACAGGCAGTTTATCTCTCAGAAAGTGAGCATGTCGAGGGCAGGCCTCCTCGAAAGGAAGATTCTTCCCTACCATCGAAGAAGCCAACACAGCCCCTCTACGGCGCGCCGAGAGCCCCCCGTCCCGCTCCATCTGCGTACGCGCGGGCGCGGGCGGGACAATCACTGGCTCTTCCACGGCCAGCACCGGTCCCGCGGCCCCCGGCACGCATCCGGCCGGTTAAGTCTCCGCTTCGGCCCTGGAGATTGGGCCGGCTCCGACCCACTGGCCGGAGAGGGCGAACCAGGCGCCAGGGTTGGCGTTACGCACCCGCGGGGAGTGGGGCCTCCGGCCTCACGTCCGAGACTCCCTGAGAGGTGCCGGAGGCAGCCGGTACTGTCCACCGCCGCGGGGCTCCCAGAAGCGCCGAGCGAGCCTTTTTTCCTGAGGCGAGAGCCTGTCCACGCTTCCGCATGCGTCATCAGCAGGCGCCCGTCGGAATGCTCACAATTGGACAGCTCGGGGCTAGGCATGCCGGGATACCGCGGGCCGGTTTCCATAGCAACCGACTGAAATTCACACAGGCTTTCAACAGGCAGGGAAGGCCCTCGTGCGTTTCTTGCTTTGCAGCCAGCGCGCCTCGGTCCGCAGCCACCACCCACGGCTTGAAAGGGGAGAGCCCGCGACCTGCTCCCCCACCCCGCCCGGTTCAGGAGAGTAATGGAGCCAGCTTTAGGTGTGAACACTCATTTATTTACACATTGTAGTCGGTAGGCAAATTACCCAGCCCAGCCTATTCAGAGGTCCAGATCTCAGACTCCCACGCACAGAGCCTGCAGACCCATCCCTTCTCCAGGGCCCCCGAGACGGAGGCCTAAGACAACCAGGAAGTTGCCCAAAAGCTAAGAACTAAATTCAACGCCTTCAACTGATTTCTTTCCAAAATGCCCATTTTGTTAAGTACTCGGACTTCTCAGCTCTGCCCCATTCATACTTTTTGCTCTCCTATAGCCCACCCACCCAAGAGTGTTAATAACAATAATAATAACAACAATAATAATACTGTAATAATATTAATAATACTTCACATTTGTACGAAGCTTACAGAATGTTTTCACATGTAGCATCTCATCTGAACCTCCCAACAGTTCTGTGAGGTAGGTATTCTCACCTCCCTTTAACAGATGGGGTAACTGAGGCTCAGAGAGCGAATGGGATTTGCTCAAGGCCACACAACTAGTTAGTGGTTAAGCTAGGACTTGATCCCAGCATCCCATACTCAAGTCCAGTGTTCAAACACCACAGCTACCACTGTAAAGTGGAGTGACATTTCTTACCCCAGTCAGGCCTGAGGCGCGGCCTAAGGAGTGAGGAGGCTGAGACTTCTCAGACTAGGGGAGGGAAGGGCTCAGCAGTGACGCGGGGAGTCAGGGTACTTGGCCTTCAACTCCTGTTTGAACTGACGGTAAAGGATCTTATTGTGCTGATTTTCGGCCTCTTTCTGGGGATGGAATTTCAGAGCTTCTTTGAAGCCCTTATGAACCAGGAAACCTTCGTTCAACACCTCGAAATCGAATCCTGCCACGTGCAGCTCACAGGCCTGTGGGGGAAGAGACAGGTCAGCAAAATTTGATGACATTCCTAGGGCAGAGACTGACATCCCTGCTCGCTCCAGCATTCCCATTCCTCTGGAGGCATCCTGGATCTTCCAACCATCCAACCACCTCCTGAACTATGATCCCTCCTGCCTCATTGCCTCTTTTCCATCCAGAGCCACTCATAGCTCCCTGACCCCACCATCCATCCTGCCCCATTTCCCCTGCCCTCTCCCTTATGAGCACCTGGCTGATACGATTGAAGCCATACTGCCGAAAGCGCTCGTCGAAGTTGGGCACCTTGCCTCCGGCCACGTAGAATGGCTCCCAGGGGTCTTGCCAGGGCACCACGTAGGCAGGCCTCAGCAAGGTCTCTTCTGGCAGGTTGACCCAGCGGGAGTAGTTGGTGGGCGCCTGGCAGGGGGTGCACAGCCCATAATAGAAGGGCCGCACCTCGCCCACCTGGTAGAGCTGCAGCAGCTCGTTTTTGTTCGTGGGCATGCGGCGGGCTCGACGGATCTCGAAGGCAGGCACCACCAGCGCTGTGCCCGCCCACTGCTTGCTCTGATCCAGCATTTCTCGCAGGCCTCTCCACAGCCCCTCACTGGGCACCATGTCCACGTCGATTACCAGGGCATAGTTGGCCCCCTCACGAGCCAGATTCCTCAGCAGGTTATTGGGGTAGGAGACATTGGTGCCCAGCGCGTAATTGATCCCGGGCTGGGCCACCCTGGCTAGCTTGTCAAAGACCTCCTGGCAGGACCGCAACAGGGCAAACTCCCCTGGCTCCCGGGGGTCGGGCACGGCGGCCTCATAGCGTGAGGGGCACACAAGGTGCATGGCAACCCTGGCACGCATATCGGGGCAGTGGCTGCTCAGCGCGTAGGTCAGCACCGTGGCCAGCTGCGCCTCCTCCTTGGTGGCGGCGAACACCGACACGGATAGCGGGCCCTCCCAGCGCTCCAACAGGCCCGATAGGTGCAGCAGGTTGTCCACACTGGCGTGAGTGGCCAGGATCACATCGTTGGGGTCCATGGTGGTCTTCAGTAGGCCCCTGTAGACGCGATAGTCGCCGCTAGCGTCCAGGACGCCTCCGGAGGCCAGCGCGGTGCGAAGCTGCGCCTTGACTTGGTCCACCGACCGCGGGGACGGGGGAAAGAATTCAAAATATTGGTCTTGCTCCTCCTGCCCGTGCAGCCCGGACAGCAGCGACAGGTAGAGCAGCTGCAGCATCGCCACCAGCATTAGCGCGGCCAGCAGCAGCTGGTAGAAGGCGCACCGTATGGCGTAGGACATCTGCATGGCTCTCGGGGCTCGCGGCGCGCAGCAGAGACCACCGGGCCGCAGCCTCTACCTGCCGCCGCAAGCCCGGATTTACCGCAGCCTGTCGAGCGCGGCCGAAGCGAGCCGAGGCGAGCCGAGCCCCTCGCGCAGCCGCGCCCGCCCGCCCGCGCCGGCCTCGGGCGCGCCAGCTCGCCCCCTGTGCGCCGGGAGGAGCTACTGCATTCTCTGCCCGCGCCGCGCGCTTTGTAAACGCTGGAAACTGGCCGCCACCGCTCCGCCGCGCCTGCTGGGTTCCCAGAAACAGGCACCCCCCTCCTCCGGGTCAGTGCGCGACCTCCTGGACCAAGCGCGTCCTGAAACCCCGGCGCGCTCGTCCCCGACTTAGGGAGGGGAAATTGTGGCAGAGCTTGGCTGCAGAGTGGTGAAGGATGGCGCGGGTTCCCGCCTGTGGCAGGCGGAAAGGAACACAAAAAGCCCCTTTCTGTCCGCCGTCTCTCCCTCCTCTAGGTCTCATCACGTCTGTACTGAGGAATGCCTGCGAGGGTGCCGGGAGGCGCGGAGATGAGAGATAAAGGAATGTGGAAAAGAATGCTGCACGTGGGACGAGGTGGCCGAGTGGTTAAGGCGATGGACTGCTAATCCATTGTGCTTTGCACGCGTGGGTTCGAATCCCATCCTCGTCGGTCGTGTTTTACAGTGGAGATGATTCTTAATTTTCACAACCCGATGTCTGGAGCAGCGGGTCGAAGAGAACTGAACAGGAGGTGGGACCCAGTTCCGTCCGGACCGGACCTCTGTTCTGTCTTTGTTCAACCTGCATTCCTGGCCGTTTCATACTCCAGGTACCTGGACCTTATGGGAGGAGGTTGGAGGTGTGCTTTTCCTTCTCCCTAGAAAGAGGGCCCGGGGTTTGGTGGCACCTAAAAACCAGAACCGGAATTCTGGCCAATGCTAAATTGGGGGCCAATATGTTTTCCGCAGGAACTAGAGAAAACCACCCTGGAGGAGCTGCTCTGTCTAAAGTACTGGAACTTGATGGTGGCAGTGGCGGTGATGCTTGATCATTTAAATTATTAATCTATTCAGCGCACTGATTCCCCTCCCCCAGCACTTCTCCCAGGGCAGAGACCTTGTTTGTATCCACACACCTGCCTCCCTAACACACACACACACACACACACACACACACTTAAGCAGAAGGCCTCGAATATCTAACACCAGTCAGTGTACACAGAAGGTGCTTGATAAGTGTTTGTGGAATGATTGCTCCATGGACTCTTTCAAAGAGGAGAGGCTGTGGGGAAGGGCAGGTACTTTGATATGTATTGTAGTAACTTCGAGCGCTGTGAATCTTGGAAAGGTGCTTTAGGACAGTCAGGGGAGGACCTGGAACGTCAGGATAAGGTGTTCGCCGGCTACTCCACACACAGTAGGGAGCCAAGGTTGTTGAGTTGAAGAGTGATCAGGAGACCTATATTCTGCGGCTCCAGCTTGTGGAATCTGATGCTGTCTCCAGGTAGACAATGTCAGAACTGAGTTGTGTTGTAGAGCACTTAGCTGGTGTCAGAGAATTGCTTGGTATGGGGGGGAAAAAACCACGCATCAGAATTGATGCCAAAATTGTCTGTATAGAAATAAAACTGAATTTTGTGTATTCTTGAATCCTGCAACTTTGCTGAAGTCATTTATTAGCTCTAATTGTATGTGTCGGTGTGTGTATTCTTTAGGATTTTCTGTATGTGTGTGTATCACTTGTGATTATGGATAATTTTCCTTCTTCCTTTCCAATTTGGATGCCTCTTATTTCTCTTTCTTGCCCAGTTGTTCTGGCTAGAATGTCCAGTACGAAGTTGAATAGATGAAATGGTGAAAGCAGGCAGCCTTGTCTTTTTCCTGATCTTAGGGGGAAGACTTCAGTCTTTCACCATTAAGCATGAAATTGGTTGTGGATTTTTCATAAACACTCTTTATCAGGTTGAGGAAGTTCTTATTTATTCCTTGTTTGTTGAGTGTTTTTATCTTGAGAGGATGTTGGATTTTGTCAGATGCTTTTTCTGCCTCAGTTGAGATGATCATGTGGTTTTTCCCCTTCATTTCATATTTGGTGTATTACAATGATTGATTTTTGCAGGTTGAAACACCTTGCATTCTAGAGTAAATCCCACTTGGTCATGGTGTATAATTCTTTTAATATGTTGCTGGGTTCAGTCTGCTAGTATTTTGTTGAGGAATTTTACATCTATATTCCTAAGGGATATTAGTTTGTAGTTTTCTTTTCTTGTGATGTCTTTATCTAGCTTTGGCATCAGGGTAACGCTGGTCACATAGAATGACTTAGGAAGTGTTCCCTCCTCTTGTATTTTTTTGAAGAGTT